CCTCGAGCGGGGAAAGAGATACGTCTCTGCCGCCATCTGTGCCTGCGCAGATGATGCCCGCCAGGCCCCAGACAACGCGGATCCCCTGGAGTTTTTGGCGCGAAGCTTGGAACGTCTCGCATCAACTTGGGTCGCATTCATGCTATGGCCTTGTACGTTGATGCCACATCTAACATATTTGCGCTGATTGTCTAGACGTCTCCAGTTTATGCGCAGCAAGAACAAGCGGAACCGAGTGTCTGTCTCGACGATGTCTCTGGAAATGCTACACCCACCGGAACCACAACAAAATCAACCATGGACGACGCTGGCTTGTCCAAAAATCGGTCGGGAGACTTGCGAGGTGATGTGAGTATTACGACTTGTATGTCAGGCCGGTTGAGTGTCGTTCTCATAGGCTGTCAGGTGGGCAGGCGGGAGGGACATAGGTGTATAGTCACCGGACACATGGACGCAGCAATGTATCTGTCCACCAGGAACAGGTCCGAAAGTGTGACCAGATCATACTCATATCTCGAGGTTGCTCATATCTTCAAGCGTGCTCTTATGGTGTACAACCGCAACACCACGAAACAAGGGGTATGGCAAGAGCCACGATTCGTTGTCGACGAAGCACTTGCTTATTGAGGTTGCAGACACGGTCCATCAGCAAATCAGCACATAGGAAGGCCATGTGAGGACAGGCTTCGTCTGCAATGGTAGCGTTCGTTAGATATGGCAAAGGGATGGTGAATTCTGGTGGGCCTTGCCATATCTCCCTCAAAGTATGACCGGGGCTTACCTTACTTCATGTGGAGTCTGGCCATAGCGCACCGGCATCTGTTCGCATCTGTTCATTTGCTGTGAATTAGATATGCTGTACCATTCTCACAGTTAGAACGATAACAGACATGGCATTATTCATTATGTCTTCTGCCAAGTATGTAATATGCACAGGTTACAAGGTATGCGGACATAATCATTATCATGAATCACGACGCCACTGTCACACCAAATACACGAGGCCGCAAGCCGAACTCGGATCTGGGTGAGAACCCTATTTATGACACCAACGTCATGAGAGGTTGTCCGGGCCCCACAGCGGGAGGTAACAGACCCGGGTGAGTAACAGATGGCTTAGAGACTTACTATCTGTCTGTAAGCTCGGCCAGTAAGGCGACCGAAAACTCGGACGCCCACCTACCTTACAGGAGAAGAGTTCTGTTGTTGGAGTTACCTATACCAAGTAGATACCGATGCATACATGTACGTCAATGACCTACTGTGATTTTCCTAGGCTAGCTACATAGAGCGAGGACTCAGAGGAGGGAAGAGGGAGATAGACATGGGCAAGATGAGAGTGGGAGGAAGATGTGTTGGGGCAACCCACGTCCTGGGACCAAGCTATTTATGCCGAGCAAGGACTCGGACGTGTCATCGCAGCCAAGTGGCGTCGGCGTGTAAGCTGCCCGGCGCCTCATCGAGAGAACATTGTAGGCCAAGAGACGTCGTGGCTGATGCCATGGCTTGCCATGTACCTTCTGGCAAGCAACAACCTGTTAAGACCTTGACATCCGATAGACGAGCGCCGGCCAGTGCTTGCCGGGATACGCCGGTATGGCCATGCACGGCCATAGGATGCGCCTTTTGCTGATGTCAATAGCAGCTACCCTCGAGATACTCCAGCACTACTGCCAACTCGATCAGAGGTACATCAGGGATATAGGATTTCTGGACAGCCCGGTAAATGTGTTCTTGGTGAACACCAACTCTCGCAAGGCGTTCGACGACTTCGTGTGGTGCCTGAAGCCTACAGAGGTTTGTATCTTCATTTGGGCCAACGTCCGGCTCCATCTTCTCATACTGCCCTCTGTTAGATTCCGAATCAAGCAATACGATCCATCCATTTACCTAGCGCAGGACATACCGGCTCTGGTAGTGTTCAAGTACAACAGCGTTGAGGAGATGGATACTGTATTTTCCACACAGTCGTCGACCGACAATCCGTCCGAGCCTGGAACGTCGCGAGATTCTCGCCACAGGAAACGTCCCCACGACGCAATGGGCCTAGCGAGCGAAAGGCCACCGGAGCAAATCCTCAATGGACCTGGACGTGCTGGAGGCTGCGAGATTGCGAGAGTAGTTTGTCAGCGATTCGCAAGCTAACCATCATGGAAAATCAAAGGCATTAGAGACATCCCGCGACAAGTGCCTGCTTCCCTGATCAATCCACCGTCTTCTTGCTAAGGGCCCCAAGCTCCGATAGCCAAGAAGGGCGCACACGATGGGCAAGATTCCCTCAAAGAGAGGATGTTCGTGGTGGGAATTTCCATAATGCATCACAGTCGAGCAATAAATGAGAAAGACGGGATCACACTGAGGGGAGAACTTGGGTTGCCAAGGCCCAAGGTTCAAACGTTCAGAGACGAGTCACTGCTAAGCACTGCATGTGTGGGCGCTTGTTGACGCCATCAACGCTGCCGTCATCCAAGACGTACCTTCTTTTTCAACGTTGTGTTTGCAGCTGAGTTGGAATATCGAACACGCAGAGCTTCCGGCTGACGATGCATCAATGAGGATGAGTTGAGATGCACCGACACCGGCGCTACGTTGTGCCCATGGTCTGTCAGGCAAATCGCAGAGTCACTTTGCACGTGATGGCTACGTCACGGTGTCCTGTGGTTGTTCAAGGTGGCAATATGTCAAGAATATTTCTGTGTGGCTCGGTTACTTGGCAAGCGGGAGGCATAAAACATCCAGGCTCACACCTCCTGGTACGCGGTCTGCCTGGAGTACTGCGACGCGCTCGCGTCGTGCTCGCTCTACCCGTAGCATGCATGGGAGTGGTTATCAGCCTTCAGAGGAGACGAAGTGATGGCACAGCAGGCCATTGGTAGCTGATCCAGTCCTACTGCTCTTTAGAACGACATACATCGATGTATAGCTAGATGAGTGCAAGATACAGATTGATTTCGGAATCGGAGACTGGCTCCGGGGCGATTACATGACGTGATGGGCTACAGGATGGTGTGTCAAGCTCCAAGATCAAGAGGAGATTCACGACTACGGTTCTCAGGTAACGACAGTGAGACGTCCATGGAACGGAGCACACACTACGTATCGTAAGGAATCAGGTTTCGTTACTCCATGATGGGATCGACGTGCGGCAACAGATGGAAGTGTAGGAATTTACAGAAAAAAGCAGGAGCATGTGGAGACGGATGCGATATACAAAGCGGAAGAAAGAGCAAAGCAAAACACGGATGGTCACCAGCGGTGTAGATAGCAATACATATGCTCCTTCAGAGCAGGAGGTCCAAGAGCACGACGAAGGAAGGCAGGTCACAATTCACGTACATTGGAATGGATAGCGGAGGATTGGGAGAAGTTCGAGGTTTCTCAGGACGCGCGTGACGTAGGGATGCTGGTGGAGGACGCGCGTGGCGTAGGGATGCTGGTGGAGGAAACGGGGCCAGGAAACGTCCTCGGGGAGGACGCGAATGAGGAACAGACAAGGCGACGGATTCAGTCGCCATTCCACTCTGACGACTCATCGCTATCGCCGGCGTCGTCTTCGTCACTGTCGTCCATATCTGCTGCGTATCCCAAGTCGCCATCCGCGTCGACTTGGCGTCCAACGATAGCTGGGGTCGGGCCCCCGTTGGCGCGCGCGGTATGACCCGCAGTGGCTGCAGAAGCGACTCTTGAGCTGGTGGTCCGTCGTGAGCTGGTGGCCCGCCGTGAGCTGGTCGCCTGCCTCGAGCTGGTCGCCTGCTTGGAGCTGCTGGCATTCCTCGAGCCGCTCGCCTGCTTTGACCCGCTCGCCTGCTTTGACCCGCTGGCCTTCCTCGAGCCCCTGGCACGTCTCGAGCTCCTGGCCTTTCCTGACCCGCGAGCCTCGCCACCCTCTGCAATCAAAGTATCACGTCAGCACCCAACTGAGAAGAGCCATGTCGCGAACGTCTTACCAGCCTTGCGTCGGCAGTCCTGCTCGTGACGCGACGCAGCATCTATCCGCGCATACGTCTTCCCACAGCATCCGCAGGGGAATTCCCAGGGTAGGTGTATCTCAAAGTGGTGGAGAAGGGCCGCGACAGTTCTAGCAGTCTTCGAGCAGCGGGGACAGGTAAGGCTCTCCAACTGCTTGAAGTGCCTTCTCAGGTGCGCGCGAGCCTCACCCACGTCCTCCGCAAGGAGGGGCGTCTCGCACCCGTCGATTTGGCAGATGTGCTGGGTGTTATCCGGATCGCTGTTACATGTGACACGAGCGTTCCGTAGCTCTGCGGCATCGCGCCTTCTTCTGGAGTTGGCGGTCGTAGCAGCTGGGGCGACGGGGGAAAGAGCCGGTGCGGCATCCGGCGTCGGGGGTGGCATGATCTCAGACGGTACCACCGTGGTGGGTAAAGCAGCTGGGGCGACGGGGGCAAGAGCCGGTGTGGCATACGGCGTCGGGGGCGGCATGATCTCAGACGGTACCACCGTGGTGGGTAAAGCAGCTGGGGCGACGGGGGCAAGAGTCGGTGTGGCATACGGCGTCGGGGGCGGCATGATCGCAGACGGCACCACCGTGGTAGGTAAGCCCGTACCCGACGTCGGGGGCGGCATGATCTCAGACGGTACCACCGTGGTAGGTAAAGCAGCTAGGGCGAACGGGGCAAGAGCCGGTGCGGCATACGGCGTCGGGGGCGGCATGATCGCAGATGGCACAACCGTGGCAGGTAAGCCCGTCCCCAGATTCGTCAGAGGGGCTAGTGTCGCGCGGCACGGCTTCTTGGGAGGGGGACGAGCGTCCTGCTCCGACTCTGACGAAGCCGAGAGAGCGCTTCGGGTGCGCTTCGTGCTCTCCATCGCTGACCCTGACGAGGACTCGGAGTATTTGAAGGGGGGCAAATGCTTGTCGAACGCCTCCAGGTGCCTCAGTTGCTCGCGAGATTCTTCTGGGAGCACAAAGCGGAGTTGCGGGTACATCATGATGAACCCGGCGATGCCGTGCTCCTCGATTTCCGACCTGTCTCCTTGTGTTGGAGGGAACGGGAGACACAAAAGAGAATGCGCCTTGGCTTCGCGGGCCCATATGTCAATCTCGGAACCTGACTCGTCGACTTCGGTAGACTCCCAGGAGAAAAAGGGGTCCGGATGCGGAAGCCAGTGCGGCGGCTTGAACAAGGTTAATTTCGGCATGATGTGGCGGTGGGAGTGGAGATGTTGGGATGGGGGTGGTTGAGGGGGGGTCGTAGGGGGGGTCGTAGGGGAGGTGGTCGTAGGGGAGGTGGTCGTAGGGGAGGTGGTCGTAGGGGAGGTAGGCGTAGGGGAGGTAGGCGTAGGGGAGGTGGTAAGATGGGAGGTGGTCGTAGGGGATATAGTCGAATGGGGGGCTTTCAAACGGCAGGCGGTCGAAGGCCGGGCGGTCGCAGGAGATTGCGGTAGACAAAGGACTTCGCTGCCCCGAACCGTTCAAATAGGGAGCTCGGCTAGGCGCGCAAACATACGCAAACGACGCGCTATGTTATCAACACGCCGTGACCGTTGACCGGGACCCGCACCCCCGCGTGTTTCCTTTCTCGTCCAACAATCCGAGGCGCCGATACGTGCGTCACCGTCCCGTCTTCTCCGACGCCCTGCTTGGTCTTTGCCTCCGCCGGAGGTCATAGGAATCCTGTCCCTTCGGATGTCGTCTCGAGCCTTTCCGCTCCCGTCCACTGGTGCTCGCGACCACCGCCGACCGACACGACAACCACCCATGCCAACAGACAACAAAACCCGACACCTTCTGCAGTCGGCGCAAAGGCAACAATGAAGCCGCCACGCTACCCTAGACTCCAGTCACTAAATGATCACCCCTGCTGCTCCGTGATTGCAGCAGGCGGACCACATAGGTGATGTGGACCTAGCGGCATGTGCCCAGGACATGTTGCACCGGCGTCCAGGCGACGTCGATGTCCAGAAAACAAAAACAGGTAGATCCATTGCACGTCTTTCGGCGGGTAGCTGTGGGAGGGTATCTCCGTGGACGACCCCCACCGCTACTCGCCGACTATCGTGGGTGTGGAGCCCGAGTCTGCGGTAAGCGCCCTCACCACATGGACAGGCGGCGACCAACGGATCGGTCCTGGGCATACTAATTGGACCTCAACAGTGTCTCATGAGGAAGTGTGCGGTCTATGCCTGTATTCTGTCGCACATTCGCACATCCAACAGCTCGACCGTGCATGATTTGATGACACGTGGAAACTCACCAGAGGAGTCCTGCGCTTCGGGAGAGGTACACGGGCGCAGCATGGGACGCAGCTAAGTTAACGGCGCGACGCTAGTGCTGAAAAGTTTCCATGATCATTCAAAGGTATGTATTGTGCGGTACTGAGCTCTTCCATACCTGACACCATTCATTCTAGGGCGATGATGCACCGGAGTATGGCAAGCCGAGCTTGAAGGTGCGGAGAGGGTGCGCGCGCGTCGTCGCTTTTGATCGCATCCTCCAATATGTCACTCGTCTCTCAGCATGTTCGGAGTATACCTGCAGGGTGAACGAACGATCCAGAACAGATGAAGCCTCCCTGTCCCGGTTCGGTGTATAGACCGGTAAAGCGAATCCTCTCCAGGCAGGGTGGATCATCAGTAACATGGAGGCCCCAACACGAGAGCCCTCCAAGGCTTCGTGTTCCGCCATGTCTGAAGCAGGCAGTATGGTTGTCTCTAGACGTCGTCGAATCGCGAAGATCTGTTACAACCAATGTCTGTGTCGGTACTCATGCTTACGTCAATGACACGTTGAGAGTACAGGCCATCGAGAATCGTACCAATATCGAGCGTGATAGTTGAGCCTACGCGGAGGCAGAAAGCTGCCCGGAGCAATTATCTGGGGATCGCTAGCTTGAGCTAGTTCATCGTTCCCGATCTCTGTAAAACACAAGACTTGGTGCCTCGGAGGCCGTCCCATTGTCCACTCTGTCGGGTAGAGCGATTGCAGCCCAGCAAAGCACACTCCAGCTTCGGACGAAAGAGATACGCCTCACAGTAGACAGAGAGGAAATATGCGGGCTCACGCCCGAGCACGACGACTTCCACCAGTGGCTAGGGGCGACAGCGGTGTTTGGCGCTTGCCCGCCATGGCAACGCAGCGATGTCGGCTTCGACGTCTCTTCCGCCTACTACATGCCATCTGCATTTCCTGCTCGCTCACAAGTCTTGCTTCTGCCGCCTATTCACATGCATGCTCGTCTGTCCATCTGCCGTGACTCAATCTCAAGATCGTGACTTGTCCCGCATTCTAGTGGAGTACTTTATGGTCTCGAACACCGAATAATCTTCACGGCTACCTCCGGGTTCAGCAGACGCTGCAGAAGGTCCTTAGTGGACCATGCCAAGGTCTTTCAAATGGTATACGGATTGTAGGGAAACCACGAATGGGTGGCTTGGAAGACGTGATATTCTCACGGACATGATATGTGTCCGTCTTCACGTAGCTGCAGCCTTACCGACTACAGCAGGTATGTGTCCTATCTTCTGCCCCTGTAGCGATCGCACACGCTGTACATCTGATCGCGGTCCACTACGCGTTCAAAGCACCGTACGTTTATAGCGATCCTGCGACTACGGGAAGTGACCTGGGAGTTGGAGTGTGCGTCACGTCTCTGACGGGTCTCGTTCGCTGAGTGCGGTACGCGTGACAATGAGAAGGGTTTACCAAAGAGGTGGGAAGTGCTCATTTGTTTCCGCTGAGATGCACGCTGACGCTGTCGTCCCCGTCACAGATCGTGTGCAGTATATGTATCTTGTCAACTCTCCCGCAGGTGACTTGGAAGAGAAGAATGCCCGGTCATAGGGAAGAAGTACGCATACGAAGTGGAGAAGGACACGGCTGTAGCCTCGCTCTCAGGCCTCCCCTATATGCATCATCACCAGCTTTGAAGTCGTGAACATCATACACACTTTTTTGCGCAGCGTGGCAGGAGAAGGTTGTGATACAGTCTCCTCGTCAAATTGCTAGGGGCAAGCGGCATCGAGATGGCTCTCGTGATCTCTGTTGCGTTAGTGCTCCTGATAGAGGTCTTAGGTCGGCCACAGCTAAATCATCATCGCTGCGCTGCGTACCTTCGTGACAGGCCAGGGGTCGACGGACTGCCCGATGTCGAAGATGCGCGGAAGCCTGCACCATACCTGCTCAAGATCTCCCTTCTTGCCCAGTTCGACGCATCGAGGGCACATCTCATCGTAGTATCCGTACGTGCCGCGCAGGGTATGGCTGGATACGAACAGTTGCCAGTTCTTCTTCATCTCGCCCGTCTTTTCTTTCCAGAAGGAGGCGCAATCTTTACACGAAGATTAGGCCAAGGGTCGGGACATGCCGCGGACGTAGTCGGAGGAGGCGCCAGTCAGCGCGCGCATTCCGTGGATGCAGCGTACGAGGTCGTCTTGACTGAGGTATGCGATCGTGCCGTCCTCACGACGGTATCCCTTAGCGACCGCTCCGCCGAGAGTGGAGCAGTAGTAGAGGGCGGCAGGAAGGATGGACGAGGTCTCTGTGAGGCGCGCAAGGTTGACTGCCTCGATTGCGCAGAATACGGCCGGTGGAGGTACATAGACCCCGATTTCTCCATGGACCCCTCGCAGGTAGTCTGGGTACACTTGGCCACATGCGTTCCACTCCTGGGATACCTCGGTGTCGATCTCTAGCCAGGACTCGAAGTCGGATGGGTACAAGCCTTGCAGCGCAAGTAGCGCTTCCGACTTGACACAATCGACTTGATATTTGTGCGAGAGCCGGATCGTCGCCGATATAGAAGGGAAGCAATCGAACAGCTCTTGCGATGTTTCGAGGGACCTGTGTGATGGCTCAAGTCATCTGAAAGGGATTGAGAACCCGAAGTGCTTACGAAGGACCATCCTTCGGTATCAATGCGCGGAGAAAATGACGCCAATCATGAGGAGAGTCAAACACCCTCACGACGGGTATACCATCGATATACTCTTCGGCATTGAGCTTCGTAGCAGAGAAAAGGTTCTGAAAGACGGGAGATTGTGCTGAGAGCAGCCCAATGTAGAGACAGAATGCAGTCTTTTCAGCGACAAGAACAATGTTCCCATCTTTGAACCAAAACTCGTGGTCCCGTAGGACTGACCCCTCAATAGGCAACGATTTAGCTCGAGGAGCTTGGCAGTCTTTCTCATCTTCTGTCTCTACTAGCAGCCTGACACGCTTCTGTGGAGGAGAGTGCATGATGATACAGTGGATAATGGCGAGTCAGTGCTAGGTTGCGAACACCGGCTACCGCAGCACTGGCAGACGTCCCTCAAGTATATGCGCCACCGCTGAGGTAATCGTGTCGGTCATCTCGGTGCCACGGCGACACCCCACAAGGCAATCTATGTCAAGTCAGAGGTCGCTCTTTCCTGTCGCAGCATTCAATATGTTTGCACACTTCACACTTCTCTGCCGTCGCTCTATACGAGCCATTGTATCGGGATCGAATACCTTTGGACATGGCACAAGGCGCAGAGATTGCGAGTATGGTCCTCTTCTCTTCCATACAATAGATGAACCCTGACACAGTCTGCCGTTGTGGCCCCTCCCAGATGTCCAGCGCTCCAGCCGACAAGAGCTTCCGCACGAAAACTGTAGCACGTCAATGCACACTTGCAGAACGCTGAGAGGCCGTACAGGAATGCAGCGCTGTCGGTGCACATAGCTCGCAGTTGATATTGGACATACAATGCAAGCGAGGTCATAGAACTGGGAGGGATGGACTGAGACTAATTGGAAGGAATAGACCACATCGCTGCAATCGACCGCCTCAAAGCTCCAAGTTCGTTATCTTCCACTACCTCTTTGAAGAACGCTTCGCCGTCAGCACTAGGCACTGGCGGCTGGCTGGGGTTTCGGCGGTACACGATCAGGTTGAAAATGTCGGCCGCGCCACTCGTGTGCAGCACGCCGGCCAGAGCAGCATGCAGCCTGAACAGTTCAGGATCGGGCAGTTCGATGCCCATTGCGTCGTGGGGACGTTTCCCGTGGCAAGAAGCTCGCGACGTTCCAGGCTCGGACGGATTGTCGGTCGATGATTGCGTGGAAATTGCAGTATTAACGTCCTCGACGCTGTGGTCCTTGAACACTACCAGAGCCGGTATGTCCCGCGCTAGGTAAATGTATGGGTGGTAGTGCTTGAACTCGTATTGATTCGGAATCTAACAGAGGGCAGTATGAGAAGATGGAGCCGGACGTTGGCCCAATGAAGAGACAAACTTCTGTAGGCTTCAGGCACCACAGGAACCTGTCGAACGCCTTGTGCACAGAACCGCTATCCGCCAAAAACGCATTTGCAGGGCTGTCCAGAAGTCCTATATCCCTGATGTACTTCTCATCGAGTTGACAGTAGTGCTGGAGTATCTCGAGAGTAGCTGTTATTGACCGTGTCTGCGATCTCGATAAGCAAGCACATCGTCATCAATGAATTGTCGCTCTTGCCATACCCTTTGTTTCGTAGTGTTGCGGTTGTACACCATAAGAGTACGCTTGAAGATATGAGCAGCCTCCATAAATGTAGTAGCCACACCTTCGGGCCTGTGCCTGATGGACCAACACATCTATGTCCATGTCTCCGGTGATTATACACCTATGTCCCTCCCGCCTACCCACCTGACAGCCTATGAGAACGACACTGAACCGGCCTGGCATACAAGTCGTAATACTCACATCACCTCGCAAGTCTCCCGACCGATTTTTGGACAAGCCAGCGTCGTCCATGGTTGATTTTGTTGTGGTTCCGGTGGGTGTAGCATTTCCAGAGACATCGTCGAGACAGACACTCGGTTCCGCTTGTTCTTGCTGCGCATAAACTGGAGACGTCGAGACAATCAGCGCAAATATGTTAGATGTGGCATCAACGTACAAGGCCATAGCATGAATGCGACCCAAGTTGATGCGAGACGTTCCAAGCTTCGCGCCAAAAACTCCAGGGGATCCGCGTTGTCTGGGGCCTGGCGGGCATCATCTGCGCAGGCACAGATGGCGGCAGAGACGTATCTCTTTCCCCGCTCGAGGCCGAGATCCTCCGTAGTGGCATACATTGCTTTTGATAAGGCCTCTCACCGTGAATTTCTGAGACAAGGCATCGCGCGTCACCCAGGGCGGAGTGTTGTGTTCGC